TTTTTTTAATTAGAACGTGCAAACTCAAGTTATAAATATGGGGGAACAGAATGTGAGACAGGCCCAGGCCGTGGCATTTCTAATTGGGGAGAGGAAATATCCCAGCAGCTGGACATCCTAATAAAAACCCCTTTGCTAACACAATGGCTAAAATTAGTGGGAATTGGCCCCTGGAAATGGGCTCATCCAGTGGCTCTGTGCTCCCATGGGCCAGGACAGGGAGGACAGGAGAAAAGGGAAGAGCCGGCCAGTGGCTCACGCACCATCAGCATAATTCCCATCTCTGCTCCATGAGCTGGCTCCTGCTGACTCCACTGGGAGAGTTTCCGGTAAGGCCAGTTCAGCAAGGGCCATGCCTGATTCCTCTGATCAGGCACTTGGGGCTGAAAGATGCTTCCTGCGTCCTCAGGACCATGGTCTCATACTTGGGTTAAGCTGAGCCCATCTCACCTATGGCCAAGAGGCTCAATGCTCAAACACAAGAAGGAGCCACCCCGACAGCAGCTGGGAGGAACCGGCTGGGAAGCACAGAAAGTACTTACTTGGCTGGGCCGCTGCCGTCAGTCTTAGTCCACCTGCAAGGAGAAGAGGAGGTGTGAGGGATGGTGCCTCCTGCACCCCCCAGGCAGACAGGGCTGTGATGGGGGCCACCACATCAATGCTGGAGGGCCAGCCTGGCTTTGCACAGGCTTGGCACTATGGAGGAAAAACTGATGCACCTCTCCCCCAGCACTGAAGATGCTTGGAGACACTAAGTCACCAGGAGAAGCTGGTGTTGCCCCACAGTATCCAAGAGGACCTTCCATCCCTGCCCTCCACAGGAGCAAGCAGGACAGAGCAAGCAAAGACCCTGCTCCAACCAGCCCAGGAACCTGGAGGAGGGAAAGGTCCAAGGGCACACACTCCCCCCAGGTTAAGGCACTCACTTTCGTTCCTGGGGGTCAAGGTTGCAGAAGGTGACGGTGTTGAGAGGGTAGTGTCGTCGGAAGAACAATCTGAAACACAAGGCAGAAGTGTCAGGGCCAGGGAGCCCCCACATCTGCCCCACCACAGCCCAGCCCCACCAGCATAGGGGACTCTCCCATAGGTCTCCCCTAGGATGCTCCAGGAGTCAAGAACAAAGCCCAGCCCTGCCCATGACCATGTTCACACCACATCAACATGCTCCCTGGATCACAACCCCATTGGCTTTGAGGACCCAGGGACGTGGCCGTGGCTCTTACTTCCTCTGGTTGTCGGTTAAGGTGATGCCTTGTGCAGAGACTTTGAAGTGGACGATGGTAGCGGTGGGTGTGGGGTCAGCCACCAGAGTCTCAGCAACAGCCTTCGCGATGGCCTGGGGGCCCGTCAGCGACTCCATCTCCACGGAGTTGATGAAGAGGACATTGCAGGCTGGAAAGGAAGACAGCAAGCATAGGGTCAACCACTGCTCTGAGCCACATTCACCCCACGACAGCCCCTCTCTACTCACCTGCACCCTGTTTGAGGAGGTCCGTGGCCGAGTTGGTGGACGACGCAGTGTCTTTCTTTTCCTCCATGGGATCTAGAAGACATGGGATGGTCACTGCTGCTCCCTGATTGGAAACCTATCCTGTCTCCACAGGCTGTGGGACAAATGTAACCCCTTCTGGTCCTGGCTCTTACCTCGGTCAGGAATAACCAGCTTGCAGGGCAGGGCCAAGGGCATGATGGAATGCTGGTACACCAGGGCTGAGAGACAGCCTGGGGAGAGAAGGGAGATGGTCAGCACAGGGCTGGGGAAACAGGTTTCTCCAGTGTAAGGTCATCGTTGCTCCAGCAAATGGGAACAGGCTTTTTCATGTGTTTCTTCACTGTCGTCCTAATGCCACATGTGACAATTCCTCTCACTGAAGCCACCATGCCCACAGACAGCTCAGGGAGGGGGCAGAGATGCCAGGGCCACCTTAGGAACAACAAATGGGGCAGAGGTCCTCAAGCAAGTGCCTCGGAGCAAGGGATAACTGGAGCAAGGGGAGTCCCTGCCCTCCACTCGGCCCGGCAGCATTGTTTGTCCTACACGTGTGCAGGAAGGTGCATATAGACACATCTGTGTGTATTCATGAATGTGCATGACCCCAGTGGCTCCAAATGCCCACAGGACTCAGTTACACAGTGACAGGAGGCAATACCAGAAGCACAGGCTCTCTCCCGGACACTTGATTGCTCTGCTTTGATAGTCCAGCCAAGGCAAGGCTCTCCCAACCCAACCCTGCACATCAGAAGCACACTGGGGGCACTCACCAAAATTGGGTTCGTTGGGGCATCCTTTTAGTTTCACACCCCGCGGGCTGGTCTCGATGAGGAAGTGCCTTACCAGCTCATTGGTGATGTCTCCTAGGAAGAGATGGAGAGTTCTCACACCAGAGCCACCCTCCTCCTCTTCCCACTCTGCAGTCCCATGGGGAAACCGGTACTCCGGCTCGAGGCAGGGGTCCCTGCCAGGCTGCACACCCTCCTCAAATCTGGCCCTTTGCATAGGCTTGACCCCAAGGCAGGCTCCCCCATGGTGCTGGTGGGCTGGGAAGGTTGTGCCTGTTTCACCATGCCAAAGCCCAAGATGCAGATGCCCCTGAGCCTCCGCAGCTCACGGCAGAGGATGTCTGGTGCTTCCCTGTGCCCTTGGAGTGGAGGGCTGGGAGGGAGGGATCCCTGCCACATCAACACATACCCAAAAAAAAAAGCTGCCTGCTTGCCCAGCTGAATGATGGAAAGCATCTCGGCGTGGGATGGAGAAGGGCACACAATACCTTTCTTGTTCTGCTGCATGACTGTGGGAGGCGGAGAAGCAACTTTCATGGCAAGGCCGTAGGCTCCCCGGAAGGAGTGGCTGTCTCGGATGATGAAAGCCCCCGGCTCCCTGTCCTTCAGCAGTGCAATGGCTGCAGGAGAGAACAGCAGACCTCAGAGCTGGCACAGTGAGAACCAACATGCCCTCCAAAACCAGCAGCTGTGGGTTGGGACAGGGTGCCCCAGCTCCATAGCTTCACCTGGACACCACAATCTTACCACCCCCCTGCACATCTGGATGGGGGTCTTGAGTGGGTCTGCGGCCAGACAGGGGCTCATCTCCCCCACTCCGCTGCCCTTGCCTGAGTATCTCAGAGCATCCATTTCCACCCATCCCAGCTCTGAGCAACCAAGGTCTGGAGAGCACACAGGGACCAAGGCCCAAATGCTGGGACCTTGGCCCTGAAAGGCACCTTGCCCCTTCCTTGTTATCTCTTCTTATTTTAGGCATGTCTCCAACACCCCTCTCTCAACTCAAGATATGGGTGCTTTGCACCTCAAACTACACAGATCCACTGCACGCTGCAGGAACCAGTGCTTCTCCGGAAAGGGGAAGGCTTGGGGAACCCACGTTGTGCAAACCTGCAGCTGAGCTTGGCGTCAACTCCCACCCCCCGCCATCATCTGAGCATCCAGAATCCACTCTCACTCCTAACCCAGCCCCTAAGAGAAATCCTTGCTTATCCCTGTGATCCCAAATACATCCCAACTCCCGAGCACAGTTCACTCAACTGTATCCTTCACCCTATGCCATCTACCCACCCTGCTCCCTGGAGATGTCTGGTTTGTACCAGTACTTGGAAGTGTCCTGCACAAACTTGACGTTGGCACGAGTCTCAGGGCTGACATCTGCAAGGAAGGGAAGACAGCAAAAAAGTTAAAAGATGCTTTATCTAAAACTTCACATGGGTTTTTAGCAACTCTGGCTAAAGCATTAATACCTCCACCTCCTTTCAGCCTCAGCACAATTGCTTTAACCTCAACCCAGTCCTCCATATCCAGCCAGGCTGATCATCTCCTGGAGCTTATAGGGCTGCTGGGCAACTAAAGCTAAACCCAAGTGCAAGGACCCTCAAAAGGCTGTGCATTAGATGAGCCTCTTCACCACACAGGCAGAGACAAAATGGGAATTCATCATTTAAAAGGGAGCTGGCCAGGTGAAATGAAAGCTGTCAGAGGACAGAGATACATCCAGAGGGTGGTGGGGAGATATAAATTCCTTCCCTTATCTTTCTTCCATGCAGAGGAACTGGACAGGTTGACCTACCCTCAGAAATGCAGCCCCCAGTCCCAGCCCTGCCTCGCCTCGCTCAGTGCCCATCAGCAGCACAGCCCCAATGGGAGCTGATCCACTGGCTGTGAAGCCATCTCTGTCCTCAGGCAACGTTTCCAACCACCTGCCTTCCAAAAACAACTGAGCAAACAACCCAGTGGCCTGGAAAGCATCTCTTTTGCAGACATGTTATCGGCCCTCTGCAACCTGGTCACCTTTGGAGAGGCGGGGTGCTTGTTCTCCTCCCCAGCCCATTTGCTAATTGTTAGGGTTTTTAATTGCTCACACTTCCCGGCTGGGAAATGTCCCCAGCCACATCAAGTCACGGTGCCAGGGCAGGCGCCAGTGTGCCCACAGAGGGCTGCCCACTCAGCAGCAAAACCAGCTTGGCAGCTGGAGCCACTGCTGCCCCAAGGCTTTATTCCCCTGGTCCTATCAGCCCGATCTTGGCGTCACCAAGGTGTCCTGTAACAGGAGCTGGCAAAGGTGTTCCAGGCACTGCAGCACCCGGAGCACAGCACAGCATTTGAAACTAGGAGGCAGCACTGCAGTGGGGTCTTGGCAGGGTAAAGCCCAATGGGAACAGGGCTGGGAGGTCAGCGCATCCCCACGACAGAGAAAAGCCGCCTCCAGGCACTTTGATCTCCCCGCACACAACTCTGGGTGCTGTTTACGCCAGTGATGCCGGGTCAGTGCTTTTCCTGTTTGGATTTCCCAGAACACGCAGGAAATGGCCCGAGCCCCAGATTGCACATGGGCAGGAGGGGTCAATCAGGACGTGGCTGCAACTCCTTCCCCCTGGACAGTGAGGAGAAGGAGGAGGGGAGATCCCTGGGCAGGGCAGGGGGACACAGGGACCTCCGACAGCATCCCTCACCTGGCATGGAGAACTTGGAGAAGTCTGGCAGGGTGTGGGAGAAGGCAACAGTGCTCCCACCGCTGGGGCTGGACATGCCGCTGGAGAGGGGTGAGGACGCCTTGCCGTTGATGGTGGCGTAGTTGGGCAGACTGTTGGAGCGGTCCCCAGCCGAC